TGTAACTGACTGACACAATCAACCAGAATTCAAACCGAGAATGCAAACCAGATGGCTTGTTCTGCAGTCTTTCCCCAAAGTACATTTTCCACGCACATACTACATTTTGCATGTACTCCATCCTGAAGTGCCTCAGAAATTAGAAGTCGCTTAACTCATCACTGAGATAAATCATCTTCATCCTTCTTTTCAGGTAGGAAGAATTGAAAGATCAGCATGTTTGGCCCACACCCTTGTGCAAACTTCCATTTGAGCTAAGTGTCATAGGTACTTAAAGTAGGCAAGGTCTTGACTTTTAAAGGCCATAACAAGTTTCAAAGCCTGCCTCAGAAAGCTGGACATGCACCAAGCCCATGTGAATCCCAACATATCTTCCCCAGAAGCCGAAAAACCCAGCCCTTGGGAGCTTATCTGCTTCAAATGCAGCGTTTACACTCAAGTAATACCTACAAATAATAGAGAATATCCCGAAAAGCTTAAGATAAATTGTGTTTCAGCCAAAAAATACCACATAGGCAGGCACAAGCTCTTTTCGGTCCTATAAATCTGCAGGCAAGGGTGAAAAAAAAGTTTATTTGAAGCTGCCTTTCCTAAAGACTTCTTCATTGTTTTCAAAACCTCCAGCTAAGATCTGTGATGAGATGATTTCTCTCTCTCTGAAATTCTCCTGTATAGCTACCTCTCATGCACCTGGGTAGGACACAGTGTCTCTGTGGCTCCAGCTTTACCATTCAGGATGCATTTATCTCTCAAATGAGAGACAATTAGCCTATTACACTCAGTCCATGCTCAGGGATTTCTGAGGTTAACAGAAGGGGCACCACATGACAGCACTGGGCACCTAGTAGGGGGTAGGGTGGCTTTCTGGCCATTTGTGTAAGCGGGCAGTGCTGGAGTTTAATCCCAGTTAAATCCCATTAGTGCTTCTTAAGAGTTGAATCGTGTACAGTGGCTAGGAGCACTGAATCAGGCTGAATATTCTATTTTGAGGCAACATGAGACCAACTCCTTCTCTCTAACAATTTCTGCACAACTGAATGGCTTAATTGCAGTGGGTTTTGAGAAGGACTACAGTGACAAGGAGACTGACAGACACCTCGTAAGAGATCTTTCCTGCAAAGACTCATTAGCACTCACTAAACAAATTAATATACGCACATACAGAGAAATCACTTTATTGCTGAAATGCTGCTGTGTATGGCCTATAACATAGCAACCCTTAAACAACATACACAACAAACCAGGATTTAAAATTAAAATAGTTGAATGTGGATTAGCTAATCCACATGAAAGATTTTTTTCTTTGAACACTAACATACTAAACTCTAGCACATAAACTATTCTCACCAGTAATATTTCAGTAACTACAAAGGAGTGTCTTTCATGGGAAAAGTCAAGCTTTTTAGAAGAATATGCTGACATCTAAAAATTCAAAGGGAGAGGGAGACAGACCTAGACCTTCTACAAATAAAACTTCAGAAATCTATTGGCTGAGCATGAGCTATGCATAATATGTGCCAGGGATGAGGGGGAAGCAAGGAGAAAAGGCTCACTCAGCCGGACACTTTATTTATTGTATGCTTGTTTAGCCAGGTACTTTTTATGACTTTTGACTGTTTGCTGTCATCATTATTCAGCAAGATTTGAATAATTTGTAACATCTAGGATTTCAGCATCAAATTGAAACGTCACTCATAACTCTGTCCATGTGCAGAACATAACATCATTATTTCTAACGCTTCAGTAAATAGATTTGAAGTGACCCAAGAAAGGGAAAATGAGAAAGCTCACTGCTATGCCCAAGATTACCAAATCTAGGGATTATAATCATACATAGAATTTCATTCCTGAGAAATACCTTTTATTCTCTCCAAAGTTCCAAAACGTCCTTGTCTCTCATCAGGTATGACACACGAGAATATGGTCCGCTTCCTTCTTTGGTCAGTATCTTTAAACACTATCTTTAGATGTCAGCTTTCTCTGAAGCTCTGGCTGACAAAAACAGTTCTGGCAGAGAGACTAACTGATCTACTCATGTGAAAAGAAGATGTACTCACGAGCATACACCAAATTGTTTAAGACAATGGATCACAGTGGGATAAAATGCAAACAAAATTTAGGAAAAGTAGCCACCAGAGTAATTACATCTTAAATGAAATACAAAGCCAGCCAACAGCAGCAGCTTCCATATATAGCTACAAGAGATACAGAGACTATATCATACTGGGGAATACAGAGACAATCATAATCCTAGATTCGTCTCAGAAGAGACTAAAAATAATACCTTCTGCTAATGCAAAACTCAGTTTGTTCTGCAATGTGATAGGAATAAATCAGCACCTCAGGAATCTGTCTTCTAGACCACAGATGCAGAGAAAGAAATATAAAACCACCCATATTCTTGCTGGTGGTTCTGACTACTACAGTAATAACAACAACCACCAGTGAATAATCATACCATTACTTAGACTTTCATATGTGAAGGGAGCTGCTGCTGCTTTGAAAAATACTGATTTTTCTCCAGATCCCTGTATTTTGCTGCCCTTTGAATTTTTTTTTATCATTTATTATATATTTACCATATCTCTTTATCTTGTATCTTTTTAAGGCTAAGAAAATCCAGGCGTTGTAGTCTGAAGAAAAAAAAAAAAAAAAACCAACAAACTGTACAGTGTTAAGCATACAGCTCTATGACATAAGCACTTGCTTAAAGGCTACGAAAGAAGTGTTTGTCAGTCAGTCTCTCTGACACTAATAGAGACTTTAGCAAGCTAGAAAAAGTAAATAAAGCTAGAAGCTACACATAGATAATTATATTCCCACCTGTTTCCTTCTAAGGTAGATATAGATAGAACAAATGTAATCTGGATAATCAGCACATGCAAACCTTTTCCGTTTTTCTAACATGCTCTTATACCAAAACAGCAATCAACCTTTCCTTCCATGGTAGTGGCACTGTTTACTGCTGACAGTAAAGTAAAACTAGGGAAATAATAGATTGTATTGAAATCATCCTTTCCCGAGAAAGTATGGGATATTAAAGTCATTCCTAACTTCAACAGATACAGAATAAAAAGCTTCTAAAAATGCAGACTGAGATTGAAAAATCAACAGATTCTGTGTACCTTCATATTTATTCCCTTGTGGGGTCAGTTATTTTTCTAAGCACTGATAGCTGGTCTCCGAGTGCTAAACAGTGACCACGCTCTTTCCTAGGACTATTTTCTTGACAGTGCAGAGAGAAGAAAGTCCATCTCACTATTTTATCACTGCACTGATTCAGCAAGCTAGTAAAAGCATGGTTTCAAGAAAAAGCTGGTATATAACTCAATAACACTCAAGGAACAGCTCTACTGTGAATGAAAGTAACAGCATCATCAACTCTCACCTACCTCAGGTGCATTTACTCAGGATGCAATTAACTAGACATCACCATACTCATGGTGCAGTGCATTGCTGCTATCCGAATGAAGATGACCTGTTGCTTCAACCAGACCTTGCTCACCTTGCTGCTAATTAAAGTCGCCTCTGCTACTTGCAGAGATCTTTTTCGAAAGTTTTAACTTAAAAGTGGTATGAGCGGTCATAGCATCTCTGCTCAAGAAATCCTGGTGGACAGTGGAAGCCAGAAGTCCAGTAGGGAAGCAGATGGACTGGGTGGATTTTTGGTTCAACCTCGGACCATTAAGTTCTAAATAAGCTTTTACAACCTAACTTACAGATTTTTCTTCTTTATTACCACTCACACTTTTGCTTACTTGGTATTGCCCTTACATACCACTATCACAGAAAATTGGGGGGTGACTGCAGTTAAAGCATATAGTATGGATTCATTTTGAGCAAAACAAAACAGTTGAGTGTTACTGGGTGGACATAAACGAGAAGCTTGCAGAGCCTGTCAAACTGTCCGCGCGATCATCAATGTCGACATCCCTCGCAAGCTGGGCGCAATTCATATTTGAATGAGGCTCTGATCCCACATAATTCCACTTTGTTCTCCAAATACACCCTTTATGTTTACTTTTACAGAGACACTCAGCAGCTCCTGGTTTTGTTTTTCACTGCTCTAAGTGAACAAATTAGTTACCAGTGGGAGTTTCTTCTATAGGCACTCAAAAAAGTTTCATTAAACAAGTGTCTCTGAACACCTTTCCTTCTCCTTTAAGTGACAGCAGCTCTTTCCTGTTTCAGCAATTATGTGCAAACATGTTAAGATATTATGAATTGTTTGAATGCTACAATGCAGACACACACACACATACCAGAAAGTGCTGCATGACCTCGATGCCCCATTCCAATGTTGTCAGGCAGAAGGGTTAAAATACATCATATTGCTGTAATATTTCATCACATGAAAGAAGATGTTATTGGGAATTTTTCAGAGAAAGCTCTGTTACACCAACTTCTACATCTTAAAAGAAAGGCTTCATCTCTATTATACTACAGCCTGATACAGAGATTGGCTTTCTAGACAACAGAATATACTGTGCTTTGCACAACCAGCCATAGTCAAAAGTCACATGGCTGAGACACCAACGTCTCAGACTTGGCTCTTTTCTAAAGATCCCTCAATGAATTCTACTAGCAATTGAAGAACACTAAATAAAAACAACAAGCTTAACAGTTGGACTTGATGATCTTAAAGGTCTTTCCCAACCTAAATGATGCTATGATTGTATAAGCTCTGTCATTTAGCTAACCTGTACATAACACCTATTTTTCTTAGCATTCAAATTGTTCTATGAGAAAGGACGAGTAATTATTAAACACTAACTGCGGTTTCAGGGACTGAGAGTTTTTATGATATATGAGCGTAACCAGAAGGTGTTTTTTTAGCTCAGAACAGCTCTCATAAGGAAGATTATCACAGAAAACTAAGTTTCTTGGGTAACAATGTATTTCCTATGGCCTGGTATTTATTATGTTTAAAAGCTTCACCTATTATTTTTTTATAAATAAATGTTCTTTATCAATTACCCGTGAGACGTACAATCACTTACCTCTCAGCCTGAAATATTTCAGATGGTTGGCAATAGCCTGCTCAACAGATTCATCAGGGCAGATCTTAACTCCACTGGGAAACAGAATGGACCTCTTCCTTCGTAACAGCAAATGCTTGTTGACCTGTTCAGCCTTCATGATGCCATGAAGCTTTTTCAACTCGGGAGGCTGAGAAGGGTTTGCCAACTGCCAGCCACTGAGCTGAGGGGTTGGTGAACCATCTTTAGCTTGTCCTCCTTCTGTAGCTGAATAACCTTCTGCTGTAAAATTAAAACCACATATAAATTTCTCAGATGAGATAGTGATGCAATCATCTTATGTATCTTAATGCAATTGCTCTGGTCTCTGAAGGACATAACTGTGCTTTTTTCTGTTAACAAAAACCATCTGTATGACTGTCTTATTATAAACAACCTAAAGCTCTTTACAGCATCCCATCAAATGATAACATAACCTAAAGCCCTAAGCCTTTGAATGCTAATGTTTTGTGTTTAACTGCCCTTCTGTGATTGGCTTGTTTAAGTCAGTGGGGCTATATTTGTGAACAAACATCTACTCAGAAGCTTTCAGGGCCAGGAATGAAATAAGTAATTAATTAATTAACAAGTCCCCTTATTCCATACTTTCTTTCCACAGGAAACATTTATATCCCTTGCATCAAGAAAGCTGCTTGAATTGACAGCTAGCAAGTATGCCTTTCACCACCATGAGATAGCTCCCTACTCGACTGGAGTGGGGAAAAAAAAGAAAAGGAAAAAAAAAGGGCTCATCAGCTTTAGCTTTTTAAATATTCCTTTTTATGATAGTTGTTCCACATCACTCCAGAGGAAACTTTGCAGCTGAGGGGAGAATGTGTCTATTTGGTTTTAGTCTGACGGTCTAATTTTCTATCCTCCACAGTCAGCAGTCAGCTGATCTGAAATTAGTTAACGCAACTTTCTTCTTTCACTTTTTCCCCAGAAAACATGACTGAAGAAGAATCACAATGAATCATTTATTAGAGAAAGAACAATAATAAGTGTATGGCATTTTTCATCTCGCAGATTATGAGCTTGTTCTGCAACTTCAAAGTCAACAGCACCTTTGATTTCAATGACTGAAAGATGAAGAACGTGGTTATTTTGATGGTATATTAAGTCAGCTCTAGTGCAGAAGACCACCACCAGATGGTACATGAGAGGGAGAAGGGAACATCAAAAAAGGTCACTAAGGCAAAAGCCTGATCTTTACCCAAACTGACACGTCTTCAGTGTGCATAAGCAGAAGACAGAACCTCAATTTTTAATAATTTTATATTAAATCTTAAAGAGAAAAGCACCAAGTAAAACATTTTTCAGTATTTACTGTCTCTTGAAGTTGGAAAAACTTGCCTCCTGTAGCTACATTCTACACTCAAAACAACACAAATGCACATTAATACCTCCTGGAAATCACTCTTAAGCATTCCGTATTTATACTGGTATCATGGCACAGATTTGACCAAACATTTCTCTGTATTAGTCCCCCCTATCCCTGCCGCAGCTAAACTTTGAAAACCAGAATATTAATAAGATTTCTGCATTACCTGCAACTATTTGAAGATCGCCTTTAATCATTCCCAAAAACGGAAAGCAAAGAAAGATTTTCCAAATGAAGCCAAACATATTTGTGCCAAAAAAAAACAATAGGAACAAAAAAAATAAGAAAATCCCTTTTAGCAAAAGAGCTGTTGTCTTTAACGTATCCTTGAACCAACCAAGAGCATTGCCCTTCTTGAAAATGTCTTGACGTCAGGTATAATTACCTTTGGAAAAAACATCAGGTAAAAAAAGTCAACCAAGACATCCTGGGAATATTCTTTTCAAAAACAGTATTCTGCTTTAGTGAAGAAGCAAGCAAAGGTGATGGAAGTAAACTCCTTGGAGCTAGCAGATGGACTGAGACAATTTTTTAATTTTAAGCTGGCCAGCTAAGCTCTTTACCAGAGCTTGTCATACCATTAACAGACAGTCCAAACAAGGACAGCACCTTTCACATTTAATTAACCATGGTTTTTCATTGGCCCTTCAATTTCTGCCCTTTTTTAAAATCATGCTGACCACAAAACATCAGAGGGAGCACGCTAGTCTTCAGTGGAAGGTCTCAGTGTGTTTGTCTTCTCCTTGTACAAATATATGGATCTAAAAATGCACTGACTCGCTTAAACACCGATGCATATGTAGATAACACCGAAGGAATCTTTCTGTAGGATTGCGTCTTCTGGTGACAGAGCTAATACAGCCCTGCTGCCCGAGCCTGTGCTAAAGCAGAAAATCTTGTGCTGTTACACCACTGTCCCTTGCATCCCAGAAGAGGTGCTTCCCCAAAGATAACGCCAGGGCAAGTTGTGATTCTTTCATCTCTGCTCAGGTATTATCTGACATGAGCAGTAGGAACAAATGCGTACAGATACCTGAAGAGATGATCAGCTAAGAAGAACTGCAGGAAGGACAGCAGTGCAGGAAAGCAGCAGCAATCTCAGCTCCCCTCCTGTCCATGGTCAGCTCATTGTGGAAACGTGTACGGAAGCAGTCCTGCAATGGCAGACAGCACTCGGAGCACTAGAAAAACCCCGTCAGGGCTGTCTCCTGGGTGGCATTAACTCAGGACTTGCTGGTTACTGCATTCAGATCAATCTGAGCAAACTGCCACTTTGTCTGAAGTGACTATTTTTGGTAGTGGTTTTGCATAAATATTTCAAAGCTGGATTCCCAAGGCTTCCCAGATGACAGTCTGAAGAGCATCTACACAGAGCTCCTTAGGTATACAGTGCTGACTCCTCTCTTCTAGCTGCTCTGCTGAACTCCAGCAATTCAGATAACACTGGTAATTCCTGATATCACACACAGGGCACTCACAGGAATCCAGTAAAAGCACCTTTGTATATTTTCCCTGATTTTTCCACAGAACTTCTAAATTACACTTTAAGTTAAACCAGTGAGCTGCTCTAACACCCCCAAACAGTTTTCTTCAGACATTCTGGATATATCTAACCAGCACTGTTCACCTAGGCTGGCTCTGTCAAGCTAACTGCAATACTGGCAGCAGCACCGAGTGCAGTACCCCACACTGGAGGTGGAAATCAAACGGTCCCGATGATACGAGGCACAGAAACAACATTGCACAGGTGCTCATAAACCGTTTCAAAGTCCTATTCAGCATCTCTAGGTAGACAGAGCAACTTTTCAGGCTAGCTTGGGTACCTTTATTACAATCTTGGATTCAACAACACAGACCAGCCCTTTTTTTTAATCCTCTGCAGAGACTGGTGCTTTCACTGTCATGAATGCTTTTGCTTGCATTACCCTGCAAAAATGTGACTGAATAAAGATTAGAAATACTATACATGCTTATAAAGGCAAAGGCTAACTTACCTCAAGAATGAATAACAACTAATTCTTTTACAGAAAATTCTCAGAATACATGTGCTTCAGTAAAAGTATGAAACCCAATTAAAAGTTTTCCTGGAGAATCTTCGGATTTACAGCAGTCCTGTTTTTTTCATCAGCAAAGTACTCAAAGGCACTCAGAATGTGAATAGTATAAAAACCACCTGCTTTATCTCTGTCACAATTTGTTTTCTATGGTATGGCTATGTCAGCTTCTGTGTGATAAAATATTTTAAACATTTAAATTCAGTTTCATTAATATTAGTTCAAGCTGTCAATTTTAAGTTCAACACTGATTTCAGCACTGAAATTTAGATTTGCAACAGCCGAAAATCTCCTACACTTATGATGGCAAAATGCGTAACTAAAAGCACAATCATCATTTAAAGTTTCTTAAAACAAGCAAAACAACTCTTGCAAGAGTTTTCCAAAATAACCTTGGAAAATTAACTCCTCCCTTGATTTGACTACAGCCTTTACAGTAATACCTTGAATCAGAAGATGCATAGTTCTTCATTTCCAGCAGCCAAATTCTATCTGTTCAAAAGTACTTAGGAAAAGTACATTCTTGCTAGGGAAAAAAAGGGAAGTATAATCCTAGTGATGTAACAAGTCAAGGTCACATCAGTACCTCCAAAAATAGAAAGACAATTTTCTGACGATCTGTATTTCTGAAAAGAAAGGACATGCACTTTCATATAGCAGACGTGATTAAGCTGAATTATAGCTCTCTGCAAGGTAACGGTCACTGAAATTCTGCTACAGCACACATACTGTTCTAAATAACTTCATTGTTTTCAAATGCAATTTATTCAAAAAGCTAAAGCCACTCATCTGTAGCTAAATAATGCAAAATGATGGTATACCTTAATGAAAATGCCCCTAACGAAGAGCCATATGATGGCAGACGCTCCCTATCTCCAAGCTCACAGGGCTTAACACCAAGATTATAAGTTGTCTCCTGTGACTGGACTACAGCAACTGACTTTTATAGCATTTGACAGGACTCAGCAACAAAATTCCCAATCAGTTTAGCTGAGAAAATTAGCTTAGACAAAACCTTTTCACTTGTTCAGTTTCTGCGCTTGCTGTTGCCAAGCATTTCACCATTACCACTTTTCACTTGTGCTCCTGGGGAGTTCTCTGGTGAACTGCCTCCCAAGAATAAGCAAGGTCTGAGGCCGTTTAGCCTTCCAGCTGAGCAAATTCAGCCCACCATAGCCTGTCATACTGCCACCTCTTCCATCACGTAGCATTGCAATGTATTTGGAGCAGAAAAATCAGGAAGTGAGGTCAAACAAATTGATCGAACACTTCGTTATCTACTCTGTCCTTGTAACGTAAGCCTACCCTCAACATTCCTCCTTTTCTGAACTGTTGATCAGATAAGTATCTCTTACCTTACTCAATAGTCAAAGATGATCCCAGTGCCTGTGCTTCATCTTTGAACAGCGTTTCCAACTTCAATTTGGTTGGACAGAATTATTGCTGTTGTTCTTGGTTTTATTCGACCATTAATGAAAACATTTTCAATCCTGAAACCTTTCAAGACTCATTCTAAAATTCCTGCTTTTCCATCTAGAAACCAGAGTCTTCTTTTGCGGGGGTTGCCAGAAGCAACATTCTGCTTCCTTGTCATAATCAAGATAAAAGCGTTACTACTGTGGCTTTGAAGTCTTTATTATTTTATAAGGTGTAGTACCTACTGAGTACTGCAAGCTCATTTCGGGGTCAAATTTGAGACGACGAGTCCCAGAAAGGACAGATGAACTGCAATGAATCTATGCCTGCAATTCCAGAGGAAAAACACAGCAGTCCACAGATACTTTTAAAAAAGCACACTTGCAGTTTCGTGATTCACTTCTCCAGTTCTTGATGAAAACTAATGTTTTGTTTGTTTTTCCTGGAAGATTTACTTCCTACAAGTTACTTCTCTTCCACCTTGCTTCTTGTGTCATGCTTGCCAACAGTACCTTAAACTGATCCCCATCACTGAGATTTCTTTGTGGAAGCCAGTTTCTGGTCATACACAGCCAGAACGCAGCAGTTTCTTTTAAAGAAACTCATAGCTACATTTAACATTTTGAGTACAATTCACTGCCTTGAAACCAAAATTACACTGTGTAGCATAAAGAGCCTTACAAAGATTGGTTTGCTTTGAAGTATCACGCCACTCTACCATTTCAGTTAAACAGGGCTTAATACAGGAAATGGAGATGCAGGAGATGTGCAAAAAGGTCCCCAAGTCAGTCTGGTGCCTTATATATGCCAAAAGTTCTCTTTGGGGAGTTCTAGCAACTAAAAAGGAAGCACGAAGGTACCTGGAGCGTAACTTCTTCCACAGACACTCCCTAGGATTCACCACGTATCTGTTAAATGCAAATGGCTGGAATGGGGTGGGTTGTGGCTGGTGGACCCAGGCACTGCGCAGGCTAGTCATTCAGGCTGTCAAGACTGTTAGCCTAATTACAGAAGCCAACTCTCAGACTCCTGAGTCAAAAAGCAGCCTTGCTTGCCACAAACAGCTATAAACTAGCTGCATGCCTTTATAAGGACTGGAGAACAAATAATCAATTTGATACAAATTCGGTTAAGATACACATACTGTGTACATACCTTAAAAGCAGAAAGATGGCCTATCTTATGCTCAGCTCACTGGCTATTTGTGGCAGCTGGGAAAAAAATGGTAACAATCACATTCAGCAACTTCTGGAGATAATTTTAATATAAAATATATTGGCATTCTCATAGCACATATTTAACAAATCTACAAAGGCAATCCTCTAATGTTATAAAACCAATTTAGAAAAGTTTATACATGACTTCTGTTTTTAAATATCTATAAATCGGTCAATCTAAAAAAGAACAAATTACTTTATGATAAAAACTAACTTTACCATAAGAAAAAGCCCAAACTATTTGTCATAACATTGAAAATATGCATCAATTAAAAAGGTGTAGAGAAAGGGCACACATTTCTGCATTTTATCTTTCATCTGTCTTACAATAAATACAAAGATTATCCGTGTAAGTAATGCTGATGTTGTGATTTAGGTGATGAAAGCCACAAAAGCTCTGGGATGAGGGGGACAGATGTTGGTGAAGGGGTAGTGACAAACTACAGAATTAAAGTAAAAACAAAGACAAAAACCACACAGTAATTGCACTAGACTGCTCACAGCTATACAGAAGGTAACTGCGCTCAGCAAATTATTTTGTTTTAAAATTGCCTCTCT